TAGAGCAATACCGAGCAATACGCGAACATAGCAATCCCGGGTCAAGTCGTCGGTCCGCGCGGTATTGAGTAAGACCACGTGGCAATATGTTATTGGCGTCTGAACGTAGAGCTACGTCCGATCACCTGACCTAATAATTGTTCCTTCAGAAGTCATCAGAGGCTTATAAGAAGCAAAATCAGCTACTGTAACAACAAAAATAACAGCAGTCGCAAGATCTGCAACCCCAATAGCAATCAAAACGCTCCTAAAAGCATTGTCAACCCCAAATGTAATTCAGACTCCACTACAGCAGTCCTTCCTAAAAGTAAAGATTAGTCTCTATGCATGCCAAGCTATACGTTCAATAAATTTCAAAAGAATAGAAAGATCATAGAATGCAAAATTACAAATCAGCTTTCATGCTATTTAAATCATATATCATGACATTCTCTAATCTTATTGAAGTAATGATAAAGCAAACTAAAAAGAGTATAAACTGAGTAGTGAAAATTTTACTTATAATAGAAAATTATAACTATCTTCAAGTGTAGTCAATTTAAGGCAATTTGATTGCTTGTAGATAAAAAAAAAAAAAATATTTTTATAAAACATATCTTCGAATATAATCATTCTCTGAACACAGCTAGAATTTGTAGAATGGAATCTAAATAATGTACAAAAACGAAAAAAGAAGTACCAGCAGCAGCTATTTTACCAAAATTTTCCTATTACATTCGCTTTTCAGCATAGCAAGAAATTATTTTGCTTCTTTTAACGTTTTGCGTAACTCTGTTTTCCTCATAAATCCATGTCTTCCATTTGCGGCATTCGACTAGCTCCAGGGTTAGCTTTCTCCTCTTCTAGATCTACCACTGCTACTTCAGTGGTTGTCAGTAGAACCGAGACACTAAAAATCCAATATAAATAACTTGCTATAAATAGAGCACTTCGATAGAAGAAAACGACAATGAATTTCTCAAACTTTACCTTGCAGCATCTAATAAAGCTGTCCTCATGACTTTGACAGGATCAATAATTCCAGCCTTCACCAGGTCAACATACTCACCTGTGGCAGTTATCAAATAAAAAAGTTTTAAATGAATACTGAGAAATGACGGGAATGAATCTCCATAGCTACAAGTCTCACTAGCAAGTTGTGAACAAATATATTTAACGGTGTTGGCTTAATTATTGTTGACCCCTGTATAAAAAAAAACCGATCCTTTTTCTCACCAACTTCAGCCTCATTAGTTCCACCAACCTGCAAACAAATAGCTACAAGGAAATCACGCATGCATAATTCAAATGGAAATGTTTAAAAAATAATAACAAACCTTAATAACAGCAACACCACCAGAAAGCTTAGACAACCGTTCTTGTGCTTTCTCTTAGTCAAACATGGCAGTGCTTTTGTCAATTGTTGTCCTAAGCTGTTGAACATGTCAGTGTAAGCATTTACGGCTCTAAGATTAAAGCCGAAGCTCATTCAAAAAAAAAATGTAAGGCCCTTAGCTCAAAATATGCATCCATAGCAAAAAGAATGTTTGTTTTTCCTTACTTTATCACGAATTCTTAGTACTCCTGCAATTGGCCAAAATACCATTTAAAAATGCATAACCCTACAAAATCCTCAAACATAAACTTGAAATGGCAGTCATGCAATCAGCAATGCTAAATTCAACAGCTTAATACATAATGCAAAATCTCATGCTGAAGCAAAGATATATACTTACTACATGGTCAAAGAGATGCAGCAATAGAATCATCAAAGGATCTATATGTATATGTATAGCATTTGGAGAAAATCTGCATACCACAAGCAATCTCCTGTATTGGGTCTCTCTGTCTCTTGGAATAGTCATTGCTTGTGAGGATGTTGTGGGCTCCAAAAATTCGGCCCCAGCCTCCACCCGCTGTTGCATTTTCTTTTCTGGGGGGAGTTTTAACAAAATCATGTTCCGGGGTAAATTTTGGAAGGCATATGGGTTTGTAGATAAGACACTACCAAGAGATTTCATCCTCATTTTGTGAGGACTTTATGATCTGAGTTCTGGTTTCCTATAGGCGCAAGCCCCTATAGTTAATTACCCCTCCCAATCACGAGAGAGAACTTTCGAATAAGGCTAGTCGTCAATCAGATACATAGAAAATACGTGTTATCTGTCATATAGTAGCAGCAATGGGTGTATATATTTTAAAAGTTGAAGGTTAGGAAATTTGGGTTGAGATATTTGAGGAGTTTGGTATTTAAAATAGAAATTTTCATCATCTTGCACTTAAAGCGGATGGTGGGGGAATGAATGATGGCCCGATCAAGATCCCATGGTTCCGTCGTCCCAGGCCATCGCGGTCCCTGGTCTACTTAGTAAGTGGAGGTAGTCGACCAAACCTGACAGAAGGATCCTTGTCGGTAGCCATGGGTTGCTTCGTCCAAGGGTACCTTGTAGACCTTGGGTGAATGTTTGTCTAAGGGGATAAATTTGAATCCTCCTTAACTAACAGAGGGCTTTGTGCCCTATCAATTATATCCTATTGATTCATATCTCAAGAATTTGATTCCACTAAGGAGCGTATTGGCTTTGGCTATAACTAGTATTTAGTGGTATCATTTGGTGACAAAATCTCTCGGTTCAAAGGGCCCCAGTCATAACCGTTTATCCTGCAGTGCTATTTGGCGGCAAAACCACTAGTCAGAGGACACGTACCACGTCCTTACTGGAAGAACATTGTTTCAAAATGGATCATAGTGATATTTTCAACCAGGCATTAGCTCTATATGAGCTGAAGTAAATTTTAAATTTGTCCACCCCAGCAAACTGTTGCGAATGATGAATGAATTTTGCTTTAAGTGATTTGAATGGTTAAAATTTGATTTTATATATCTTGGGATTTGGAATTTTGGTGATTTTTAAATTTTGATGAGCATTTGGATGACATTTGAAAATATTTAAGATTAACCCCTCCGGTTGAAATCTACATTCAACATGGCCATCATTGGGATAAAAGAGGTTGTTTTCTAGTGTCGATTGAACCCTGTCGACTTTGTCGAGCTATTAACAGAGGATTAGGTTTCGTAGGTTTTGTGTCTTTATTAGTGAATTTTTATTTATATAGGCTTTCAAGGCCTAATATGAATGTATTAAAATAAATATACCGGTCACCACAACCGTATATTTATTTGATGGTTCGAACCCTGTCGACTCCTATTGATCCATATAGAAGGATTGGGTTCAAACTTCAATTCACTTATCGACCCGCACAGCTTCCCTAGATGTCATGTGTATATTGAAAACACACTCGTCATGGCCCATACAGGTGTTTGGGGCATTTTATAATTAAACCCCGTCGATTCCTTTTACCTACTTAGGAGGATCGGGTTCAAATTTAATAACCCGCACAGCATCCCTAGACGTCACGTGTATCCCTACAACACGCTCGTTGGGGCACATGCAGGTCATGATTTTATTTACACCTTTGGTGTACCTATGTTCAGACATATTACGATGCATATATGGGGTATTTTGCAATATTTGTAAACACCTTATGTCCTCTTGCAAGGCAAATACTTATCCAGTGGCATTTTGTAGTAGTTTTTGGATTGAGTTATTTGCTGTTTTATATAGGTAGACTGTCATGCACTACTTATTGCTTTCTACATATGGATTGTAATGCACTAATGAATCTCCTGCTTTTGGATATAGGTGATTCATAGTGTTGTCACCTGATTGTAATGAAATACCTCATTGTTCTGATGGACACTCCCTTTTCTCATTCACCAGGAGGTTCTTCTGGAATTGGAAATCAGTGACAACAGCCTTGAAAAGAATTCCTTTTAAAATCCTTAGTGTAGTAAATTTATTATTTACAGTGTTTGTGGATGCCATAACTGTTTTCTTCCCAAGTATATGACCAAGAAGAAATTTTGGAACACCACGAAGTTTAGTTCAAATTCGTTCAAACTTCTCTTCCATTCTGCCAGAATGTTTCCTTTTCGTACATCGAGTTATCTTCATGCTTGACATACTTTGCAATATCTCAATCATCGTTGTTGCATGTGATATCTATACTTGTGTCCATAGTGGTTCATTGTGCCTATGATATACCCACTGTTTTTATACACATCTGGCTCATGTTTATTTACAGGGTCCCGTTGTATTCACTGTGACCTCCTGAAAGTGTTCGTAGAAAAGCCATTGTTTCTGCATCATATTCACCTTTCACCAATCTCAGTTGGTTTGATGATCGCACTTGTTTGTAGGGACGGGTCTTCCACTATCAAGCGGTAGTATTTCCATCTCAATTTGCAGGCACTTGGTTGTATTGGAGATTATATTAGCACATATGGCAATCACATATGAGCTCTGCAACTTGTTACTGTTGTTTGAAAGAATAGTTCATTTGACCTTGTAGGGATTGTTGTAGGAGTCTATTACAATTGTATCATGTCCATCTTTTTCATTCACAATTTATTTGCGGTGATGGGTCCTTTATTATCGATCTCCAGTGTCGTCTTCTTCAATCAACAGGCGAATTATTATTTGTGTTGGAGATTCCAATAGCGCATATAGGATACACATGCATTATGCAACCATCTGATGTTCTTGTAAGCATAGTGCATTTGACCTTGTAGGGACTCGTATGTATCACGAATGTGACATCCTTCATACACAAGTTTTATGTTCATGTATCTATAAGCTTAGATTGGTTGTATGGAGACCATTATACTTGTTGCACATTCTCTTTTTATGAACAATCTATTGTATACACTAAGGTTGTTTTTCATGTTATGATATCGTCAACCTTTTTATTGTTCACTTGCTTATGAACAAATCATGTATGCTTGAGAATTTGGCACAAATCTTCTGTCAATTGACTAATGTTTACTCGGATGGTCCAGACTCTTCATTTAATACTTGCAAGCTCATTTACCATTTGTACTTAAATCTTGTTTACAAGTCTTCTTTCTTGGCTATTCAAGTCAAATATGAATTCCACCTTATTTGCCCATCCAAGTTCAATTATGATCTTTTACATAATTCTTTCAAGTTCAGATTAGCTCCAAATCAATGTCTTTTGCAGTCAATTCTTGTAAGATCAAAGATTTTTTTTTTTGTACTTCATTCAAGTCCCATGTTTATTTGTTCAAGTTATTATTATAAGTCATTTGAGTGGTGTTCAGCTTCGAGCCCACAAGTTCATTGTTCATTCTCATTTGAATCCAAGTTCTTATTTTTTTTAGTCAAATTAGGTCCGAGTACAGTCATATGTTCACCCAAAATTTTGGCAGCCTTCCGACGACTCCCCTGTTTAAAGGAAAACTATATAAAACTGGGCCTCCCGCCACACTAGATAAAAGCACGCACTACAGGTGTCCTCGAATGAGGAAACCGCAGCCGTAAAATCTTTAACCTCGAAGATGTCAAAGGATCGAAGTCAGTCGGCCATGAAGGAGTCAAAGAAGCGCACGGAATGGAGAAAGGATCTTCATAGCGTGACAGATCCAGTTGTTGATCCCTATCAAAGTATCAAACTTCCGATTTGATGGGAACAGAAAGTCATCGAATGAGCGAAGTCCGACAACAACGAAGAAACTGAGGAAGCGCATGATCGGGAGAAAGTTACCTTCATAGCCGCGAGCTTCCATCTTGCTTTCGATCAAAATGACGTATCTTTCGATCCGATAGGAAGGGAATGTCATAGAAGGTGAGAGGTCGAACAGCTAAGAGGGAGCCAGCGAAGCACTCGAGGGGGAGAAAATTTCCTTCACCGCAAGCGAATTCCTGTTCCTGCTTCCGATCAAGTTGTCGTAACTTCCGATCTCACAGAGGGAAAGTCGTCCAGGTTGTCGTAACTTCCTATCTCACAGAGGGAAAGTCGTCGAGGGAGCCAAGTCGAACAATGACTAAGGAGTTGGGGAAGCAACACAAAGGGGAGAGAGATCACGAGAGAGAGCGAGCAGGAATGAGAGGGGCTGAAGGCCTCTTCTCTTAGGCTATTTAACGATGCCAGTGTGAGATCGTGCAGGAGGCGTGCGAAGAAGCGACGTCGGCGTGTGAGCGATGTGCGATGAGGGATGCCAGAGCAGGTATGGAAATTTAAATTTAAAATGTTTTTGTTTGCCACGATAGACAAGTCAAC